AATTAGAAACATTGATAATATCTATAAATGGGAAATAATAATAACAAGAATGTCTTCTAAAAACAGTAGTAAAATTAATTTTATTTGGATATTATGGATTAAATTGGCTGAAAACTTGATGGTGTTTTTGAATGTGTACTTCTCTGGGCTTATATCAAAATGTTTCATTCCCAAATGAGTTTTTATTATGCAATAATATAGAAGATTATAAAGATTTAAAAAGTCTTATTTTGTAAAGTTTATTTTTGTAAGATATGAGAAAAGGAGTTCCAGTAAACTTGGTAAATCAGTTGTTTAACATATAAAAAAAGGAATCCACTTATATATGATTAATATAAAACCACCTGCCTCTCTGTGACCTACAGGCAAGGCATTTGGTGCCTTTTTTATTTGAATCAAAGCTGAAACAGAACAGATTTTTATTCTTTCTTTTTTCCCCCTTCTCTCCTCCGAAGATTTAGGACAAATGATTTGGAAGTTCTTTCATGTTCCCCTGAGTAACTATTGGCTGCTTCAACCATGTCATTATATATCTCCCAGTTATGTTGAAAATTTTCCTGTGATCCCTAAACTTGTGATCATAATCTCCCTATGCCCTGATAGTCTCTTGTGAAATGGAATGAATTAATTCATGTGCCAGGTTAATTGTAGTCAGTTTGGTACATCCTCTCACGCTCTTATCCCCTCGCTTGGGAAATGCCATGGAAAATGCCTTCTGAAATGCTAAATCCTTCTTTCTCTGGTTAATTTGAATTCAACTGGAGCTTCTGGAAGCTAAGCAACTGTTGAAAATTAAGCAGTTAGCCTGCATACTTAAGAAAACAACATCCACCATTATGGCTTATATATTATTCTGATATTATTGTTCTGAACTGTTTAATTAATGCTTGCAAATTCATTAACAGAAATAAATTATTTTCAAACCATACCAAAATTTATTGATCTTTTAATCTGAGAAATTCAGATACAACTCAGATTTAAAAGGAAGATATTGTGGTTTGCATAGCAAATATGATCCATGGTTACTGTGGAAGATTAATGTCCTCTGCTTTCATTTTTTTTGTCTTTTTGGTTACCAAAACATTGTGTGGTTCCTTTGAAAAGTAGCTGGGGGTGGGGGGAAATGCTAGTAATTAGAGGAAGGGTAGTTACTTACCGAAGCATGAACGGTAAAGTTCCATGAGGAAAAAAATAAAAATACTATATAATTGCAGAATAGAGAAATGCTCATAATATTGTGTGTTGTTCTCTCTTCTATGAAAGTTATTTTAAATTAAGCTGAGCTAATGTTTTGCATCTTTAAGTGTTCCGTTCTAAATGAACCATACTCAGTACTAAAACCTCTACTTGGTGATAACATTCTTAACACCTATAAGTCTTCTACAGTTGTCCTCACAGGATTATTTTTAAGAAAATATTCCATTTTTTTACAAATATGTAATGGTTTATGTATATTATAGTGAGAGAGAGAGATTATAGAGAAAGCACTGGAAGTAAAGTGAGTGTTTTTTGAAAGCTCACCCCTTTTTCATTGGAAAGCTAGATGGATAATTTAAACTGCTCCTAGATCTGCTATAGTCTAGCTCAGTTTTGCTATTTACTGTATAAACATTTAAAAACCCCCCACATTTCCAGAAATGACTGGATTACTCAGTTCTAATAGGATAATCTACACCAAGTATGTTAGGTCGTCTTGAAAATATTTCTCAGCTTTGGAGTATTAGAATCACGGATTTTGTGGGGTTTTTTTTCATGCAGGCAAGAACCTAATCGCAGGGCTGTATGCATAGATCTCCTTTAGGCAGGACTGTTGGTGCACATTTGTTTGATACAGCATGTGGTTTTGCATCTGCATTTTGGGCTGTTATGAACATTTCTGATGTGTATTCAAGGTACTGACCAGCTCCTAACTAAATTTCAGCATAATTTGAAAGCTTTTGGGTATGCAACGACTGAACTCTGGTTGTATGAATGTTGCTGCTTCCCTGGGGGAATACAGGTCACAGAGCATGTGAGAGGAGAGGATAAAGCACTTGCAGCTGAAGAAATCTGAATGTAGAACAACCTTATAGAACAACCACCCACTTTCTTTTTTCCTTTGCTGAGCACCTTAGTCAGTGGCAGTCAAGGTGTCAAATGTAATAAATGGACATGGCAGCAAATCATGTATTACTTCAATATCTGTTGTGTTTCCTGGCCAGAAAATATAAGGCAGTTTAGAACAATTGCTTTGGAGGACACTGGGGTAAATGATAACCTGACCATCTTTAGAAAATACTGAAAACTTCAAACCTATTTGAGAAAGAGTCTTCAGGAAGAAAGAAACACATAAGTTTAACTTAATTTATTAATTCACATCTCTACCTAGGCATAATTCTGAGCCTGTGCATGGAAAAAAAAAAAAGTAGCATTAGGGATTTAGTTGTTGCTGGCACCTTGGGGGACCAGTATCACTGAGGCAGCAGTTTACAAATCTAAGATAGCTGTAAACTCAAGGAATATTTTTGGCAGTATATACATAAAATCCACAGACAAGGTAAATATAAAAAGCTTTATGTAATAGATACTTTATATGTCCATACAAAAACCTTAACTTAAATGGGTTTATAATTTGTTTTTCTGTTTTCCTTTTTCACTTGGTTATTCCTCTTTGTGTGTAATTTAGTGAAATAGCTAAGACACGTTTCATTAATGAACAGTCTAACAAAGGAATTTCACATTATTAAAGTCAGTTGATTTAGTGATTAATGTATTTGTTATGCTTGCAGATAAAAAATATATATGGTGTAAACTAATGACTGGTTTACTTGGATGCTTATACAAATCCTTTTGCTATTGTGGTTTCATAGTTTATAACCAGTGAATTAAATGTCAGTGACTTTAATATTGAGGAAAACCATAAAGGTTGTAGCATGAGTAAAACAGCGTATGATTTGCCAAGGTAGAAGAGTAGCTGAAACTATATGATGAGACAAAGACAGTTAGTCCATGTCCAAGTTGATTATTTCCATTTTATGCCCAGCTTGAGCCTTGTGGAGGCAATTTTTTTTTCAATGTCTGCTATTTTTGTGTTCAGTAAGTAAGAGGTAAATCGATAGGTAAAGGGTAAATTGATTTCATTGAACTTTCTTTCTCGGATGAGGTGTTCTGGATTAGAGGCTCAGCATAGATGCCCTCTTGCCAAGTTTGCATTCCTAATAGTAATGACTTGCACAAGATCAGACAAATTTTGCAGTCTGCATTGCTGGTCCCTAGCAAGGACAGTGATACACATTTAAAACATTACCCTGGGTTAGTTAGGTCTTGACCTTAATGGAAAACACCTTATTTCATGTGGACATAAATTTTCTACATCTCATAAATAGTAAAAAAAAAAAAAAAAAAAAAAAAAGGGGGGGAGAGAAATCTCTGCTCCAAAGTGTTGAAATGATATTAAAGTCGTTGTAAAATTATTTATACTGTGACTCAGATTCCAAAGTCACTGAGGCACTTTGAAAAATTAGTTTTAGTTTTCTTTTTCTGGCACTGTTTCAAACTGATTTCTTGCTAGCCTTTTCCCTCCTAACACTGCATTCACTGTACTGAACTAAAGGAGTTGCACTAGGGTTTTCTGTGGAGATATGGAGTCTTCCTGAAGTATGGGGAAATGTCTCCAAGTCAATTTGGTGGTACAATGTGGCTTTATCCCTTAGATATTTAATGGTGAAAAGTTGCTGTCCTGTTTGATATAGGAACGAAGACAGCAACACTATGTTTTACAGGTTTATGAGCTATTTTAAAATCATATATGTAACTGAGTAGCATCATTGATAAGTATGCAGTTGTGTCACAGTTTTTTCTGAGATAAAACTGAAATTGTCTTAAGCTGTCTTGATATATTTCAGGACACCTTTATCTTCAGGGGTTCTATATTAGCAGGATGAAATGGGATCATAATGCTTTACATTGCTGTGATCTCATTGCAGCCTACACCTTCCTCAAGGGGGGAAGCAGAGCAGGAGATGCTGATCTCCTCTCTCTGGTGACCAGTGACAGGGCACAAGGGAATGGAATGGACCTGAGTCAGGGGAAGTTCAGGTTGGACATCAGGAAAAAGTTCTTCTTTGAGAGGGCAGTTGGTCACTGGAACAGGCTCCTCAGGGAAATGGCCATGGCACCAAGCCTGTCAGAGTTCAAGGAGCATCTGGACGATGCTCATACTCATCTGGTTTAGTTTTAGGTAGTCCTGAGAGGAACAGAGGGTTGGACTTGATGATCCCTATGGGTGCCTTCCAACTTGAGATGTTCTGTGACTATATGATTCATTGTATTACTTAAGACAGACAATGCTGTCTGACCAGGAGAAATCATCAGTGAAGTTTCATTAATCAGCTCTTACCTTGCTGGCAAAAGCAAAACCATATTAAATTAAATGACACATGTTTCCGATCAACAACTTTTTTTTTCCCCAGTAAATAATGTTGCGTGTATTAGCACTCTCATTTGACTCTTAGAATCTATTTAAGACAGGGTGATTAATTTCTCTGTAACAAATACCAGCAAAAAGTGTTGCCACCTAGGAAAAGGCAGGAGGCCTTCAATTCCCTGAATTAGGCATCCAAAAAACCCCTGCTTGTTGTCTGCCTAATTATGGGAAAAGCTAAGACTTGCTCCGTAGGTGCCCTTGGTTGCAGTTTTGTATGCGCTATTAAGCCATATTCTAATCAAGAAACTAGAGAGCATGGAACTTAAATTCCAGGGCCCTGATAAAAGTGCTCTGAATTTACTCTGGGCTGTCTTACACTGTGCTCTGGGCTGTCGTAGCAATACTGTGAGTTTTCAAAGTAATACTTAATTCAATAATCAGTCACTTTCAAGAATAGGTACACCAGGCTGTATCTTCAGAAATCAGTATTTTCAAAGACAGTCTAAAGTTTTTGTTAACAGAATATTATTTGATGGATTAGTATGATAGTTTTTGCAAAATATTTTTTTCTTTTTCTTTTCCCCCCTCACTCTAGACAATTGATTTAGAGGGGTTCAAGCTGTTCATGAAGACTTTTCTGGAGGCAGAGTTACCAGATGATTTCATTGAGCATCTTTTTACATCATTTAGCAACAAAATCTCTCACTGCAGCCCGTTAATAAAAAACAAACCCCAGCACCTTTCTGGAGGTAAGTAATAAAATCACAGTAATACAAGACCTGAAGGTTCCCTCCTCCTGCTACTTTACTTCTAGTAGCTATAAATATGTGGAATTCTAAACTATATTTATTTCTCTTCTTTTTGTTCTGATATTTTTGAAATTGGAGAAACTAACTCAATCGTGAACAAGAAATACCATGAAAACAAATGGAAATTAAATGGTTTCATCTTTTTCATTCACAATAATGATGCAGCTGAGACACCAAGTGGACAGTCTTTGTCATGTTAATGCTAATCAGATTGCTATGGTTACATGAGCTTGCTGCCTATTCTACTGTATAAACATTTAGAAGCCTTCAGAGCTTTGTGCAGGAGGCTCCTGCTGGTGCTCTACAGATTCTGTGCCCAGTTACTGCTGTTTCTCTTAATTTTCTAGGTGTGATGCAGCTATTAGTAATCCTACATACTTATCAGCTACTGATATTTGAAATCTCCTATAAATGTTAGCAGTATTTCTTTTCCCAATGTAAGGATCTTCTTTAATGCATTTTGATATTTTCATGCTAAACTGAATATTTTTTAATAAAAGTGATTTTGAGTTTGGAGGACATAATATGTTAAAATTCTTCCAAGCAGAATAGTGTTAAAAACTGTCAACTTACAAAATTACATAAAACTTTCAAAGAAAATTTGTAGAAGAAACTTAAGGTTACCTTTCTAACTTGAAATACTTGATTTAGCACTTTAGCAATTTGGGATCAAAATCCAGTAGCTAAAAGCACAAGCTTGACTAATGAAATAAATTGCATGTTTTGAACAGCTGGGATAATCAAGCACTTAGAGCAAGGTACCAAGTTGTTTGATGGGTACTTAATCACCTGAATTCTTTATATGAAGATTAGGTGTCTTCAAATTTCACCTCATCCAGAAGTTGTGAATTTGGTACAAGTGCTACTAGCTGAAGTATTAGCTTTTCTTGCAGATGCCAAGCACTAGATTTCCATAGATGCCTCAGTGTACAATTCTGATTTTAGGCTTTCAGATGCCACCCATTGAGTCTGACCTGTTTTTTCATTTTAGTGTGTGCTTTCTCAACTATGTTAAATAGATGGGTCTCAGTATTTTTCTTTATTTAAGTTTACAGTATCTGTTATTTCCACTTAGCTTTATATTTCCTGTCAAAAACCACCAACCAACCAACCAAACCAAAAAGCCCACATTACATTATCATCTTCTATTACATTATATTGTATATATATAATAGTCATGAACTGTATTTAACCAAAAAAACATTTTTCTGCTAGCAAAGCTTGCTTACCACATCAAGGATATGATTCTTCATATATTTTTTCTTTTTCATTTGAATTGAATTCTTCAGGTATCTTTTTTTAATCCTTTCTAATTGGAACTGCCATGGACACATCTCCTTCCACAAGTATCTGCTGTGTAGACAGTATGTTTCCAACTTCTTGGGCTTTTGTTGTTAGTTAGACTGGTTCCATGTGCAGAGCAGTAGGCTTAGTAGACTATGGTGTAATCATTTGTGTGGAGTATTCGGAACCTTCTATTGCTAATTACAGCTTTGACAATGACTTACTCATGGGTTTGGGCAAGTAATTTAGACCAGTGGTTCAGTCCCCTGCCCTTAAAGATGCTTTGCAACAGAATCGCTAAGGGCATGTCTAAATGAATGCTTTACTGTATGCTGCAGGGTATATTTTCTATGTCATGAATTTTCAGCATTGCATTGTTTTCAACTATGGGTATAGATTCTGTTGCCTATAAAGTCTCAGCAGCAAAATTTCATTTCCACTTCCATTACTTTTAATTTTTCATTGAAGTTTTTGTCATGTTTTCATCAATGAGTAGCATCAGCAATAAACTGGCACTGTACCAGCCACCAAAATTTGTAATCTTTTACACTTAACACTTTTTGCCTGATAACTCCAATAGCAGCTGCCATTTAGTGGTGCATATTTTATTATGCTGTGTTTTTACATATGTTGTCTGACTACTGTTATTTCAAAAAATCATCTTTTACAATTCTGGTGGTGTATTTCTATAGTTTTAACACTTCATATGTAGAAATGATAACAGCTGGGTTTAGGTCATTGCCAGATTTACAGCTAAATTCTGCCCGGTGTAGGCCATACTCAGCTTTCTTCACTTTCACTGTAATTCTCTGTGATAGAATTTATTCTTATGTGTGGTAAAATACTACTACTACTACTACTACTACTGTTATTATTACTGTTGTTGTTTTAAACTGTATGCTAAGTTTCTTACTTTAATGCTACCTCCTAACATTTTTTTCTCCTTCACTCACTTTTCCCAGTTTGTAGTTGATTTTCATCTTTCTTTGTTAGTAAGGACTTTAGAAATAATGTAATGTGAGACCAGTTTAGTAGTCTTCCATATGTATTTAGTGGAATACCAGGACTGTGTGATAAATTGTTATATCCAAAGCACATTCAGAGAGACAATTCAGTTCACCTCATGCAAGAATTATTTGTGCTTGAAAATACACCGTTCATATTGTAATTCAATTGCATGGGATTTAAACTAGATGTTCCATCTTTATAATTTGTAGCATTTAAAGGGAAAAGTGTGCATTGGTACATTTTGATGTGCAGATGAAAATTACAGAAATCTTTGTTTTAGGATATTTAGTAATTTTTAAATGTTACCAATAGTGAAAAAACCTGACCATACCAGGAAATAAATTTGTCAGAAACATTTGACATTCTTCTGGAAAATTGAAAGGTACAAGAGAGCTAGAGAAGATCACAAGGAAAGTAGCAGGGTTCATAAATATCTCTGATATGTGTCTGTTTTTTACTTAGTGTCTCTTGGTCCACTCATGTCTGTTTATAAACTGTATTTTCAGTTAAGGTGTCTGAAGAGAGATGGAAACAGATGCCAGGTAAGCAGCAGCACTGTCAGTCCAACTGTAAGTCAGCATATTGCAGCCACCCTCTCTCACCTCTGGTTAAGAAGGTTAAGAAGAATTTTAACCTGTACCTTGCAGCTGATGATAAGCTAAAAGATACCTTAAAATTTGTATGCCTTTTCATTTGGATTTCAGGACTGTACATTTTTGAGACGAGTTAGCCCAGGTTTTATAGTACTCTTTATTCTGTGCATAAAATTCACATAAGACTGCAATGTGAACTATTTGTGTAAACTGTGTGATAGAAGCTAGCATCTTAATTGATTAACATTTTATAATGTCTTAATTTTAAGGGCACTTAACTGACACACAAGCTCATGTAGTAGAACATTGTCCTATTAAATATGTTTATTAATTTAAATATTTAATTTCAGTGTTTATTATCAGCCTGAAAAATGTCTTCAGATTGTAATGAAGTTTTTCAAGATAAAAACAAGGGGCGGGGTGGGGGGAAACCCCACCAGAATTCTGTTTCCATTCGCTACAGTAATTAACTTGTCCAGGACAACTGGATGAGAGAAGTTATGTGTGCAATGACGAATATGTTCTGAATTAGTTAGAAAATATTTCAGAACAGTAAATCCTTTGTAAAGTTTCATCTTCAACATCACTAAAGTCAGTGAGAAATGTAAAAAACTTGTAAAGAAAGTTTTATTACTGCTTTCTCTGTGTTCTCCTGTCCTTCCCCTTTTTTTTCCTCTTTGTATTGGTCCTGCAGATTCCAGTAATATGATCAGGACTGGGCATATTAATGTTCTCTAGAAACAGAAAGTTTGGCAATGTTGAAACTTGTATTCCAAGTGGTACACTGGAACTGCTCTTGATCATAATGTTTGAGCAATTATTATGACTACTATTTAAATTCTATGTTTATTTTCATAGTAGTCTGTGGCCCAGGCCTCCATGTTTTAAATACATGTTGCTCTGACACACACCTGCCTGTGTTTTTGGGAATACTACACCACTGGGTATTGTCAGAGTTTTCTTTGACACTAAAACTTCTTCAATTAGTGTAGCTGATGTCAATCTATGAGTTAGATGAAGCTTCTACAAACTCCAGGAAGTATATGCAGCATTGGTCAGGGATTGTTTTAATACTTAAACTAACATGGAATGTAGTAGAATAAAAATATTCACCAATTTTTTTGTTGTCAAATGACATCAGATCAACACAAATTTTAAAAAGGGTTATGCCAGTCCCATAATTGATTTTTTTCCAATAGTTTGCTTTATCCATATAATATTTTAAAACCTTACTACTGTTCTAATTCTGCCTTTGCTGGATAAACTATGAACATGAATTCTTTAAAACTTCACATTTATATTTAAATTAAGAAGTCATCTGAGATTCACATAAAACAGAGATGCACGTATGCAAGAGTTATGTTTTAATTTTCTGCTTATATCGTATGTTAAGAGTAACAAAGGCTATGTGTTATTTCCAGGTCTGAGACTTAACAAAGGTACCTCTACATCCCGACCTCCTACTCCTGCCAATTTACATGTACCAGACATGATCCAGCTGAAAGATATTGTTTGCTATTTGTCACTGCTAGAAAGAGGAAGACCTGAAGACAAGCTAGAATGTATGTTCTTTTTTTTAAGTTAATTTTATATATTTATTACAACAAATTGTCAAAAACTCTGTTTCTAAATTTTCTGAGTTGAAGACTGATTTTTGGGTAGATGCATTATAAAAATATGGTTCTACATGACCATTATTGCAGAAATGGTCTTTTATTCTTGCTAATAGTATCCATCTGATGAGATTTTAACTGAATTCTTTTTATCTAGCACATGCTAAAATGGGAAGTAAGGATCATACATTCTGCAGTTAAAATAACCCTTTCTCTGCTGCCATCTCTTGATTAGTATCAGATCTGAGAAAAACAAACTAAATACACTGAGGGTGCTTAGAGATACATGAAAGTGGTGAATAGTCTGCAGAAAGCAAGCTAATTCAAACAAGGATTAGTTGTTAATATAGGCCATGGGTTCTATAATATTAGTGAATACAGAAGAGCCAAGAATGATCCAAGTCTGTACCGCTGTTGGGAATGAGTGTTTGACACTGGAAGTTAGAAATTACTTGATTTTTTTATTTTTTTATTTTTTTTTAATTAGGGGCTTGATTCATTAAAGCTCAACACCTCTACCTGTTTGAAAAGTAACTGAGAGTTTGATCTGTGAATCAAAGGGAAAAAAAAAAAGTGTTTTCCCATTCTGGAAAACTGGCTTCTAAAATTCCATATAGATAAACAGTCAATCTATAAAAGAACCATGGGATCGGACTCTAATACTGTATGTAAATACTCAATATGATAGTAAATGCAAACAATAGGCTGCTTCTGCCAGAATGAGAAATTCATTACAAGGTTAGATGACTGTATGTTGATGAAGCATCTTGATGTTTCATTGCCTGTAGTTAGCTTACAATGACTGCTTTGCAAGATCACAGATACCTTTGCCTCAGCAGACTATAAGGAATCATCCCCAAATTTGGTAATACCAGTTTGGTATCATACGATTAGAATATGAGGATGTATGTGTAAATATGCATTCAGAACATGAGCACAGGAAAACTAAGATCCTAGGGTTGAATTCAACTAACAGTATAATAACTGTTTTATGGCAGTGAGTTATGCAAGTCTTGTCAGAGCTCTTCAGAGCACAAAGCATAGCATGAAATGGAGATCAGTTGCCTCCCCTGCTGTCAGGAATTGGTACAGTGAAAAGGGGGAGAGACAGAGGAGCAGGTGATGATTTTAGTGTAGGAGGATATTCCATGAACTTCATACAACAGGAACTGCACAGGCAAAAGACTACAAATGATCTATATGATTTAGGAGCGAGAGAGCCTGATCTAATAAACATACAGTACTTACATGTTTTGTATATTCAAGATCATTTGCATTTACTACATATAATTAAGGACATGGTTATTATATAGGTTTATTTTCTACTTTGTTATACAGAGTTGAAACATACCACTTGTTGCCACTTTTTAATGTCTAAATTTTGGCATATACTGTATCATTAGTGTGCAGAATTCCCTGTTGATTTTAGTTGAATTGTGCTTATAAATTAATGGTACAACTTAACCCTTTGACATAATTTTATAGCAGTAGGTCTTGCTATAGAAGTAGTAATGACAGTAAAGACTGTCATTATAAATTAGTAGCGGTGGAGTGGAAAAAAAAAAAGGATGGCTTATTCTGGAGTTGCCAACATTAATATTAATACTGATCTCAAAACATGATTTTTTTTTTCTGTTGACATAATATGTAAACACTCTGAATCATAGCTGAGTGTTTAGAACTTGACTCATGGCAAACAAAACATGGACGTGGTGCTTTCAAATAAAATCTGATGCAAGCTGGAGGATTTTTTAAGACAAAATACACTAAGAGGAAATAGTGTTTAGGTTTTGGATCTATATGATCTGTGGATTTTCATAATGTACAAATACTCCAGCAGATAAATGGATTCTTTAACCTATTAACAGCGTATTTCTAGAGGTCTGTGACCTCACTTGTTTGACATGCTCAGCATATCTATAACTTGTAAACTGTATAGGGACTATACAGAGATATAAAGAATATCCCAAACTTTCCTGGCAGAGATACACTGGAAGAATTTAAGTTCTGTTTCAAAGGTCATATTGCAAATAGTTCAAGGTGTATATGCATTGTTAAGTACCTTCATGCCCTGTGGTTCAACCTGTAGACTTGAAACCATTTTCTGTTCTCCATGTTGTTTTCACATAGAATCATAGAACAGTTTGGGTTGGAAGGGACCTTTAAAGGTCATCTAGTCCAACCCCCCTGCAGTGAGCAGGGACATCTTCAACGTGTACCAAGCTTTGCTTGCTGGTGTCCAAACTGTGATTCTTGAATGTGTAAGAAAGACCCCTTGTAAATATGCAGGGTACTTCCTAAGAACTGAACAGAGGTGTTTCATAGCTCAACCTTTCTTCCTTTAATGACCTCAACAGCAGAAGTTATTTTAGCTCACAATTACACGAGGCTTTATCAGCACAAGCCATTCCTGAATTAGTATGATGTGTTTTTTATAAAAGTGTCGTATAACCACAGATGCCAGACATATGTCTTGTGAAACTGTTCAGAGAAATGCCAGGAGGCAGTATGAAGGGCATTAGACATATGGAGGAAACATATGACTTCCACAGGTACATAGCTCTACAAACGGAATACGCTTATAAGTGCTCAAACTTCTCTCCGCTATTATGAACAGAAACTCAAAAAAAAGGATTATGAGCTGTGGAGGGGTTTTTTGCCAGTTCCTCTTATCAAGACTCTCTCCAGGTTATTCTGTTTCTGTTCTTTTCATACCAACAGAAGTTTCAAGAATGCCACATTGTTCTTTTGCATTTTTGCAGTAATATGATTAGTTATAGTCTGTCTTTTTCCTATGCTATACAGTTCTTGGACACTCAGGGTTCTGTGGAGAGTGACAAACCTTACATTTTTCGAAGTCCATGTGCTGGTGAAAATAGAAAGTACCTTCAGCGCTTGTTTGTGCATGTGTTTTTGAGAATGAATTCCCTAATTTCTTCTCAAAAGAATATAATTTTGAACTTTTGGAACTTCTGGGTTACCACCTTTTCTCATATGCAAGATCAGAAGTCCAGAGGTTTCAGGTGAAAGTATAGCAGTACAGTAACTGATCTCATCTTGGTAATTTTATTTTAATACATTTTTAATTATTTACAAAAGGTATGCAGTCTACTAATAGAAATTGAGTGGCCAAGTCAGTGCTATCAGGTAGGGGGAAGGGAAAAGAAATATGAAAGATTGTCTTGGGTTCTGTAGTTTGCATCAGAACTTTTGTTCAGTTGTTTTTATCATTTTGTTGTTGTTTTTTTTATGCTAGAATGTGTTAAATCAGCAAGGGTATGAATAGAAAAGAGATTGCATGCCACACCAGTAGCATAGTTTTTCAGAGTCTAGCCAAGACACAGATTGAGCCTTTTCACTACCCAATACATATGTAATTGGAGAGACTGTTTGCTACAAAGGTGAAACACTTATAATTATGCTAATGTCTGTTTTTAAATGACTGATTAAAACTACTGATTCATGTTATAAGAAAAAAAAAGTTGTAAGCATTACTTCTCTGGAGTGGGTAAAGATCAGGGAGATGCTGAAACTTGCTTTCGTGATAACTGTAGAACATTCTTTCAACCAGTGCATTACAGTCACAGGAGAGGAGGAAGGAGAACCACATGATTTGAACTTTATCACTGAGTGATTCAGTGATTAACCCCTATGGAAACTGTGAATGTTTAGTCGTACCTTTGCCAGATAATATTAGCTGCTGTGCTTTGAGCAGCTTTGGTAAAAAGTGTACTAGCAGGGGCAGTGCCAATCTCTGGTGGCTTTTAGCATTAACTGTTGTTTTACACTGAAACATTTCTGCAGTGTAATTCACATGCGATTAAAGATATTTCTATAGGTTTTCTTAGCTTATAACTAATGAATAATGGACCTGTGTAGCTTGAAACATGTACTACAGTAAATATCTTCAATCTTATATTACAGCTCTTAACAGTGGTGCGATGTAGTGGCAAAAATTGCTGAAGTGGTAGAGATGCATAGTACGTACTTTTTTTCCCCGCAGTTAGGTGAACAACTTGGGAATAAGGTGAGGGATGTAAGGGAAGCAAACCAATCCATATAACAGTTAAATATGTTTTGCCGTAAGTCAAAAGCAATCAAATTCTTTCTGAACTTGAAATTCTTAGCAATTAGAAATTACTCTCACTTCTCATTATATTGTTTCCTGAAAACTGTGGTAAGCTTTGCTTCCAGAATTTATTGGACTGTAACAGCAGTTGCTGTGGATTCAATGTGGTGGGATTGTTCACTGTTGAACAGGTCATAGTGATGTTTCCAAAGTCATCTGGTAAGAGAGTTTTTAAGCAGATTGCTTGTTTTTTGGTTTCCAAAGTCATCTGGTAAGAGAGTTTTTAAGCAGATTGCTTGTTTTTTGCTATCAGTCAAGGCATCACTGTGTCCTGGAACCACCTGTACATGGGCTGTCTTATTCCTTAGAAAATAGACCTAGGGGGAAAAAATAACAAGAGGATGATGTTTAGATTTCAGAGCTCTAACAAACTGTCCAGAAAGTAGGGACAAAGAGTGAGGTTTTCATAGGCTTTTGGTTTTCATTTTCAGCCTTTTAACAGTAATCTTACCAAAGCTTCAGGCTTCGTTGTACTCTGCAGTCTGATGCAGTATATGATTAGCTGAGTAAGCTGCTTTGAAATGTCTTGGTAATGGTGGACATACCTGCTCTTGTGGCTGGAATCAAGCAATGATACAAACTTGAAAGTATATATTCTTTCTGGATATTGTCAAAATGCATCTATTCTTGTCTGGGTAGCTCCCCAAAATGTTTGGAATACATTTCCAAATTGATGAAGCAAGCCTGGTCCTTGGAGGAGTCATGCCGGCAGTCTGTGAGGAATGTTTATTTGTTTTATTTGGCTGCAAATAATAATCCTCTATTTCATTTCATCAGTCAGAAAGCATTTCTAAAGCAATATCACTATTGAGTAGTCATAGCTGCAATGAAGGGAGTAAAATAGCATTGTAAGTTAAGCAAGCTTATCAACATTTGCCTGACCAGTTGTGTGTCATCCTATGTTTGGTGAGATGACAGAGAAGGGCCTTTTGGTGGTACTCACCATGAACACAGATCACCTCTAGAAGGAACCAGAATTAAGTTCACAGACCAAATTAGCTGTTGGAGTGATTATGTGGAAAAGGTGCAATTGCAGTGTCCTGCTAATACGTCTTGTTGGAGGCACTGTGGCAGGGTAGTCGCTGAGTGAACCTCTCACATGATACGAAGTGTTTGGTGGGTCTACAGTTACTGTGATCATTAAAGGAAAATGTTAATGTTTGTCCTTTCTTTGAAACTCGGGTTTGTTTGGTTTGTGTTTTGGTTTTGTTTGGGTTTTTTTTAATGAAATAATGTTGTTACTATGTTTTCTAACTGAGTTTCCTTCTCTTTGTTTCCTTTTTAGTTATGTTTCGCTTATATGATACAGATGGGAATGGATACCTGGATAGTTCGGTAATTTTATTTATGTATTTTAATGCATTGTAAAGAATATGTCATAATGGCATATGTATACAAAACTACATTAATCCAAATCAAGTTTAGATTTACCCTATATTAATAGAAGCAGTATAAACTATAATCAATAACATGTCACCCATTATGAAAGTGACTCCTGAGTTTTCTTTTCCATTAAGCTGCTGCTTGCACAACTGTATAAATTTTCAAATGCTGACACTGCTATCTTGGAGTCCTATTCTGTAGTCTTCTTATTTTTAATCATATTACTGTAGGGGCCACATTAATATGATTCCTAAAATTCTAGTATGCTGCTGGGAGATGTGTATGAAGTTTGTAAAGATTTTCTTAAAAGGGGAAAGTGTGAGAGTCACACGCTGGATATATGTGGAGAGATGTCAGAACTTCCATGTTCTTACTAAGAATGGAGGAACTATATTAAAGACAAAGTTTTGAGGAGTAGCCCAACCAAATGTTTGAAGGAAAATCAGGGATATAGCAACAATTAAAAAATGTAACTATTTTTTTTTCCGTTAGCTAACAGAAAGAAGCATTTTATTGGCAGCTTTCTTTTTTCTTCCCTTCTTCTTTTGAGTCTCCCTGAAGTAAGACAGCATAGAGTGCGTTGGTAAAGAAAAGGAGGTGATTCCCATAAGTGACAGGGGAATAGGGAAGCTATGTTATATAGAGGTATAAAGTAAATCCTGTATCCTGGTTTTAGGCAGTACAAAATATGAATTAGATAACTAGTGCATAATAAATACACATGAGAATTCAGAATGGTTCTAGATAAGCATTTGAGCATCCATCCACTTAATGCCTTACTTCCATTACAAAGTTGTGAATTGCTGTCAAAAAATAGTTTGTTAGAGTGCTGGAATTTAAAGGATCTTAAATCATTATATCACAGGGTGGACTTCAGATCATGAAATCAATACTCGAATGTTTAGCTGGGGAAGGAAAAATCCTTTAACTTGTGGGGCTGTCATTCACCTCCCTGTATGCTTTACAGTCCATGCCTGATGTTTTGCTAGTGAAGTGGATTCACTTAAGAGTGCACAGCTTCTGGTGTAAAGGACATTTCATTAGGAACATCGATGGAACAGTGTCACTGAATGCAATATGTTTGAATTATAAGTTGCTTGCAGTAGAATTTGTCTTTATAATATTGCATTAAGTATTATCGTTCTTTTTTGTTCATCTGTAGGAGCTGGAAAACATCATTGCTCAAATGATGCATGTTGCAGAATACCTTGAATGGGATGTTACTGAACTGAGCCCAGTAAGTATCCATTTTATCACAAGTTTTTAATGCTGCTGGAGATAGCATTTAGTCATTTTGTGATACTTCATGTCAATATGTGATTCTATATATTAGTAAGATAGAAATAATAATAGTCTGTTCTCCACTATGACACTGTCAATTAGCACTTTTACGAGTCTTTTTCTGATTAAATCTGGTCTGTGAAACATTCTTGCTACAGTTTAAGGCTTTTCTTCAGTGCATGTAGTAATTAAAATTTATAACATGACTGGTTTGTTTGAAAATTTCTTAAAAGTACATCTCTTATTTGCATTGTACATAGTAAGTACACAAGGGGACACGACTTGGTTTGGGTACCTTAGGTGATAATAAAATGTAAATAGGAATGTGACACCATCTTCTGAACTGTTGGTACTCATTTTACTACAGGTGCCGTACAAATAATATTTTCCTTACTTTTTGCATGTGGATGAGGGAATTGGAGATCTGCATGTGTTCTAACAGGAAGTTGCTATATTAGAATATGGAATTTATGAGATTTTTCATTAAACTGTGTAGATCCTTCATGAAATGATGGAAGAAATTGATTATGATCATGATGGTACTGTTTCTCTGGAAGAGTGGATCCAAGGAGGAATGACAACAATCCCGCTCTTGGTCCTCCTTGGGTTAGAGAATGTAAGTATTAACATAAGGTTAGTTTCTCTGTGGCTTTTCATTGCTTTTCTTTACTATGGCTGAATAACATGCAAAGAACAGGAGTGTGTCTTCAAAGTATGTTACCACGTTTGAAGTAATGCCAAATGAGCTGGCTCTGGCTCTGGAAGCTTTAAAAAGCTGATTAATTTGTCCTGTTAACAGCATATTGTTAATTCGTAGCTGCAGTAGTATCTGTTAAGAATGTTTTACCATCCATGTGTATGTTACAGCTGGCTTGGAGCAGTGTCTAGGCTTCTCAGTATGGTGCTGTGTTGTGTGGTGTAACCATACTGAGTTACAGAACAATATAGGTTGGAAGGAACTTCTGGAGATCATCTGGTCCAGCCTTTTATTAAAGGCAAGTCTGCAGACTGAGTAATCCAGGGCCCTGTCAAGCCCAGTCCTGAATAATTCCAGTGAGGTGGATTCCATCAGTTCTGTGGGTAACCTCTCCCAGTGTTAATTGGTCTCAAGAGAATGAGCTTTTTTCTTACGCGCCGATGGAATTTCTTCTGTAGCAATTATTGCCCATTGGCTCTTGTCTTGTCAGGATACATTCCTGTGAAGATAGTTCTTCCATCTCTGTAACTACCTTAATAAACTGTACTAAGTAGCAATACCAAAGAGAACACTTACACCAAAGGATAGAGTATTTTGAAAGAAGAGCTTATGTTCTATACATTTACAACTTCACATAAAAGATAAGACAGATGTAATATTATCAATATTATACCAGTTCAACGCAGCTGTTTTAACTCTGGCATGTTGCCAGTGCCACCTGCTGTCCTGTATTAGAGCTAATTTTGAGCACATGTATCTTAGCATATGTTTCAAATGTTTTTCTGTTATTTGAGAGAAAACATTTATTGAATTTTTTTCTGAAGTCTTTTTCAGATATCGATGTGAAAATAATAAATATTTATTTTCCCCATATACTGCTACAGCCTGAACTAAACTAGACTGCTGTAGTTGCTCTGCAGTATTTTACTTGCACAAAGAATGGTCAGACTGAGACTTTTAGACATGCAACAAAACAGTGTGTTTAGCAGAAGATCTAAAATTCTTGCAAAATCTTATTAATCAAATTACCAACTAAATATGTATCCTATATTGAGGAAAACTTTCAGTACATTTGGATCACTGTAAGTACTAATTCCCTAATTCAATATGTGTGACTGAGTAACAAAGATGTTAAATTACTTCCCTGTCATCAAACAACAGATCTTTATCAGGCTGAATTCCATTATTTCCACAGAATTACTATAAATAAAGGGCAGCAAATGCTCTCAAGCAATCAGTATAGCAGATAACTGATAGCCATTTTCAGTACAGATTTTTCTTTTCTGACAGGTAATGCAGATGTTCTGAGAGTATTTTTCAGTGTCTACACATCATTATTTCTAAATTTAAAACTCCTTAAATTCCTTGATAAAGTAATGCAGATCCTTCTGTAGAGGTTTATTTTCATATTAAAGGAAAATCTAGTAGAAAGAAGCTATGTAAATATGTTATCAGACATTTTATCTTTTTGAGTATTTTTACTAGTTATTAGATAATTTATTTTGCTGTGCTTAGCTTTACTACGGAAATAACATGTGAACAGTGATCAAATTTCTGTAGTCTGCTATCAGCACGGCTCAGTGTTTCTGTCATCAGGAGTATTCCCAGTACTTTGTGTTGAAGAGACATAAAGGTACAGTTGTGAAAAAAATATTATAATGGTATGCAAAATTTCTTTTTGATCAATAAACAGTTATATTAGTTGAAAGTTGGAGTAAAATGGATGGGGTGGCGTTTAATGCTTTTAAAATATTTTCATGTACTGTGAATGAAACCCATTACCTACAGACCTGTACAAGCTGATTTTCTAGTCATTTACTAATGATTTACTCGGAAATGATGCCATCCTCTAAAAGGGCTCCCATTTTTCTTTTCATGTTGATTTCTTAAACCATTCACATAACATGTAGAGAAAAGGCAGATTTTTAAATTTTCCATCAAACCAGCAAAAAGTTACTGCTTCTGTTTGTATACTGTTCTAAATGATCAACTCTAAGTGTATTTTAGGACATTGAAAAGTTAAATCAAGAAAGTTAAAACTCTAATGCCTGTCCATTGTTATTTTGTGTAAACTGATAGCATGATTTTGATGGCTTTACAGTATCTAATGCATTGCCCAAGCTCTTCATTCCAGTGCATCATTCCCATTAGTGGAATGCTGTGGGGTTTTTTGTTATTGGGTTTTGGTTTTTTTTTTTCACACACTGCTGTTCTGTTATACTTTGCAAACCCAGCCCAGGACTCTGCTTTTTGGCTCTCTTTCTCTCTCCTTTTAGTTACGATAGTAAAAAGGAAGGTAAGAGTCTTTTGGACTCATTAATCAAATAATAAAGTTCCGATATCGTAAAATTTTCTCTAGGCCGATTAGTGTGTGAAAATGAAGGTCACAACTTACTGGCTTATGCTACTTAGACATGTCCAGGTAGTCTCAACATGTTGAAAATAAGCCAAAAAAACCCCAAACCCAAACTAACCAAACAATTCTCTCACCATCTTTTAACTTCAGCCAACTATTCTTTTGCTCTATGCTGAACTCGGACAATGATGAAATTTTACATCCAAGAGATCAATTTCAGAGCTTGTCAAGTATGATGGTGACAAAGAATTGTCACTGTAGTTTATTTAAAAAAAAAAAAAAAAAGTGAAGTCTTTAATTTGTTTTGGGTTGGGGTCCATTTACTTACTGTAATATACTTAACTCTTGTACAAGATTCTCAGCTGGTGTAGTTTGTGTAATTTGTTATGGTAATATAAGTAAATCTATGATAATTTATTTCAGCTGAAGATTTGTCATAGTACCTTCAGAATCCAGCTGCATTGTTTGTACTTAATCTTTAGTTTCCATTAAGAGCTATATAAAAAGGTCAGATAGCACGTCAGAGTTTTATATTACATTTAAAGGCTTTCAATCAGTTTTTATTACGTACTATATTAGATGCTTTAGTTACAATAATTGAAAAAAATCCGACCAGCATTTAAGTGAAATATGGAACTATATTATACAAAAATAAAAGAATAAACAAGTTCGTGTTTATAAAGAATGTGATTTAGGTAGCCTAGTCTCTCACAGGTTTGTGGGCTTTGCCCTCTGACTTCATCAGTAATCCCCTTCTGAAAGAGACAGGAGTATTAGGTGGTTATTACAAATATTAGCCAACCAGCTGTTGCCAGGTTAAAAGAAGTAACAAGGAAATCTGCCCGACTTTCCTTCTGATCTCTCTCTATCTGCCTTCTCCCCATCTGCCCTTTTTCTAGACTTCCACTTTTCTAGTGGCCTCTCAAATTTACTTGAGTTCAAATTAATTTAAATGTTGCAGGAGCATAGAATCCTAGAATCGCTCAGGTTGGAAAAGACACTTGAGTTCATCAAGTCCAACCATTAACCTCTAACCCTGCCATTCCACCACTAAACCATGTCCCTAAGTGCCACATCTACACCTCTTTTAAATACCCCCAGGGATGGGGACTCAACCACTTCCCTGAGCAGCCTGTTCCAATGTTTGACAACCCTTCCTGTGAAGAAATTTTTCCTAATATCCAATCTAAACCTCCCCTGGTGCAGCTTGAGGCCATTTCCTCTTGTCCTATCTCTTGTTACTTGGGAAAAGAGACTGGCCCCCACCTCACTACAACCTCATTTCAGGTAGTTGTAGAGAGCAATAAGATCTCCCCTCAGCCTCCTTTTTTTCCAGGCTAAACAACCCGAGTTCTCTCAGCTGCTCCTTGTAAGACTTGTGCTCCAGACCCCTCACCAGCTTTTTTGCTCTCCTCTGGACATGTTCTAGCAAGGCAACGTCTTTCCTGTAGTGATGGGCCCAAAACTGAATACATCCCTACTCCTGCTGGCCACACTATTTCTGACACAAGCCAGGATGCTGTTGGCCTTCTTGGCCACCTGGGCACACTGCTGGCTCATGTCCAGCTGGCTGTCAACCAGTACCCCCAGGCCCTTTTCCACCAGGCAGCTTTCCAGCCACTCTTCCCCAAGCCTGCAGCATTGCATGGGGTGGTTGTGACCCAAGTGCAGGACCCAGCACTTGGCCTTGTTAAACCTCATACAGTTGGCCCTGGCCCATTGATCTACCCTGTCTAGATCCCTCTGCAGAGCATGGAGATAAAGGGACAAAGAGCATAAATAAATCTCATTTCTCTAGGAAATCAACCTAAATATCCCATTTATTTTCTCTTAATGCTTTCTGTTTCCTCTTAAAAGTTGAGTTTAGAGTTGCTGTGAAGGTAGAACTTAAAAATACAGAGGATTTTATCTCTGCAAATGTTCCAGGATAGAAACAATGTATTCTTATTTTGGTGCTTTTCAAGGCAATTGGTGTGCTAAACTAACAATTTCAGTACAAGATAAGGAATTTATAGAAGAACTTAATTGGCTCTTATTCTGTAGAGGTGCTGTGATACACATATTGTTTGGAAATTTGTTTTGCAAGAAAAGACCTTGGAATTGTATGCATGTATAATCTGTTTGTACTTGCATGACTACACTTTTTCCACTTAGCAGTGGTTGAATATGTTCTGTACCACACCTACTGAAATCTTTAAGACCCATAATTCTTACTCTGAGGTTTAGTTGTGCCAGTCCCATGGAAGTTGTTCCAAGAAATTCTCTCATGAAAAGTGAGAATTTAATGAAAAAAAAAAAAAAATAGGTAACCATAGAGGAAATTGTTATTTATGTGGTGCAGTTCTTAAATAATAAATATATGAGGTAGAGTTTTTTGCTGAGTGTCACACTTCAGTCTGCAATTTTTAAAGACCTAATCAATTTTCCAAATCTATTTTTGCTTCTTAAGGCAATAGTTTGTTTGTCTCCCATCGAAACACAGATTGGATAGAGATGTCCCTGCATTATTCTATGCAACATTCTATGATTCTATGATTCTATGATTCCTTCTGGCTGATAATTA